CATTCGGACTGGGTGACGGCCAGCCCATTGTCATTCGGACTGGGTGACAGCCAGCCCATTGTCATTCGGACTGGGCGACGGCCAGCCCATTGTCATTCGGACTGGGTGAAGGCCAACCCATTATCACTTCAGGCGGCCGTGTTTACCATCCGCGCCAGGAGTGACGTCAGCGATGGTGACGAGTCGCCTGTTCTCAAGCGAGCCGTGACCAGCGCGCCAACTCGCCTCGCTTGCCTGACTCCTGACGCACGTCTGCGGTCCGTGGTCCGACCGAGTCGGAGTCACGCGGCTGGCAGAAGTGATTTCACCCGCCGCGTTGGCCGCGTTGCCAATAACATCGCTACGTTATGGCCTTTTCATGACACTTTAGCGGCCCGTTTTGTCTCGCATACGCGCGTGCTTGTTTTAAATATTGCAGCGTCATGGTGCATAATGATGGCCGTCATCAGCGCAGCCGTGGCCCTGTTTGGAGAATGAAAAAACGTGAGAGAAAACCGATGGTCGTGAGCGCGCGTTGACGCGGCCATTAGGCAGATCAGTGCAAACATAATAGAAATGTCGTATTAGCCCTGTGAAGGAGTTATGAAATGCACGAGGCTATTGACACGTCTTAAGATATGACAGCCTCAAGTCGTTCAAATGTAACTGTGCAAGTCACTGCTAGATCGTTCGGGATAAAACGGTGCTGATTTGCATGTTCATGCTTTTGTGTCAGTTTCCAAGACTCCTCACATTCTGTCATATTTGAGGCGTGCGGTTCTCGCGCTGAACCCATGCTGCGCTGCTTTATGTAAATATCGCCCAACTGTAAAGACCTCGCCGTTCAGGCCTAGGGAACCCTTACCCAATAACTAACAAACGCAGTTGCGAGCTTCCCTGTCGTAAATACTCCCAGGAATTAAACGTCGATTCGATCAGCAAGCCACTTGGGGTGCGCTACACATGACCTAGCTAGGTGTTTTACTGTTTCTGCTCACATCATATAAGGTCATCATGGAGCCTCGAAAACGCTGCAGCCATGATTTCTAAGGTCGCGAATGGAGAACAACATAAGAATGCTATTAGCGACACTGGCTATGAGGACACCCCGCATTCTTACGTTTTTAAGTGAACTGGTTTGAACCCACCAAACCATGAAAATACCTCTCTTTGTCTTGGTGGACATGTTCACGCGTGCATCACGAGCTGAGCAAAAAGCGGCGGCACGTGCTCCGCTCCCGTGCGTCCGACGGAACCGTGACCTCGCCCGCTGCGCCTTCGAGATCAGTGGCGCCGGGTATGCGCGTCAGCTCAGGTCGCAGGTCAGGCCTGCGCACAGCGCCGAGTTCCCTGCAGAGCGGAGCTCACGGCCACCGGTGGCCACTCCGTGAGTCCCCCCACCGCGGTGGCGGCAGTGAAAGCGACGCCGGACGGCGGCGCCCGTGAGAAGCCAGCTCCGCAGTCAAGCGCCGGGCACGCGCCGGGCTGCGCCGGGAGCACTGCCGAGCCTCTGAGTCCGCAGTCTAGTGCCGTCCACGCGGACGTTACGGCCGCCCGCTCCGCAGCCGGCACGGGTGTGGTGCTGGTGACGGACGACTGTGGGACTGCGACGGCGGCGGCGGCGGCGACGGTCTGCCGCGCCGGCCGCGCCAGCGCCGGCCGCCGCCGGTGGTCATGTAGATGTCCACCGGCCGGCCCTGCGTGCGTGTCACCAGCTACCGAGTGAGGTCACATGGCGGTGACGGACGCTGGTCGCCCGTGCAGCCCGAGGAGGGCTCCAGGTACGTGCAGCAGCCGCTGCCCGGTCCAGGTGCGTGGAGAACCGGCCGTGCCACGAAAGCCTGCAGTGTCGTGGGTCATGACCCAGCACGGTTGACGTGGGATGTGGAGTGTTTGGCTCCCCCAACGGGGACGCTCATCAGAGCGGGTGCAATATGCGCGGTGCAGGGGCAGCAGTGGCCGCCGAGCATCGAGGGCGCCGGTTCCGTGGAAGCTGAAGAATGGTCGGAGCCCACAGTCCGCGCCCCACGATTTTGGTCGCAGTCTTCTTTCGCTGCTGAGTTCTTTTATCCAAAGTCTAAAGCGTTTGCTGCAAATAGCTAACTGACGCTGTTTCCAATTGGAAAACCTCATCGTAAATTCGATATCAATCTTGCAAACCCCGGTCAAAATTTCCTGGCCTATCTTATAAACTCATTCAGTATTTAAATTTTCTCTCAAGATGTGATCAAAAGGTCCTAAACGAAGGCTGTAATATCAGCTAGTCTTAATTGAGTGATGTTGGATGTAGTTTGTTGTTTGCCATATGCGAACGTCATGGCGACAGTGGATATTCCTGGGATTTCGTAAAACGCTTCTTTAGACAGGGGCGCGGTCAGGATTTTCTTAACCGCTGGGGGAGAGGAGTTTGGAAAGCACACGTCACGCTGAGTATGAACCTTCTGGCGGGAGCAATCTTTTGTGAGAAAAAAAACGAGAAAAAAGGGGCAAGGGACTGAGAGATGTCCCTATTGGCTGCATCCTTGCGGTAACACGTGGTTTCCAGCGTTGCAGAGCTCACCACAAAACTTAACATGCCTACGAAAAAAGCTTCATGGCATAAACTGAACAACTTGCAGCATGCCGCATGCAATAGAATACTCATTGACCTGTGAGCCAGGGAGCAGGTATCGTGTTTGAGATAAGGCTTACCTGAATGACGCTCTTCTAAATACATTGATTTTTTGTTGTGTGTGGGTGAAACGAAGGCAAGTGCATTGATGTCGGCTTATTTTTAAGCCAGCGTCTTTTCCTTGCGTTTTGTTTGGCCAGGCCCCACCAGAATTAATCACTGTAATTGTGCGGAGCCGCAGTAGGCAATGAATTCAAACTGACGTCAATATCGGCTCCCATAGAAACTGGTCGTGTGTCTGGCCCGTCGAGCTCAAATGTGATCTAGGCGCGACTCAAAAAAACGGACTTGGTTGGTTTTCATTGAAATGATATTTCCAGCTATAATATTGAACTGGAAATTTTGATCACGCTGCTAGACAAGCGTGTCTGACTTGAAATATGATACCCTTTTTCCAAAGTTCGTCGGCTAAAGCTACCAAACTACAGTTCAAATACTGGCTATCGTGGCGTTTCTCCTGTGTAAGCAGACTGGCGTCATGGTCATCATTACTTGACATATTTATTAGGGTGCATGGGTGTCAGCTATGTTCCACAATATTGCATCATGGAATCTCCAGTGAAACGAACGGGACCAGGCTGTTTGCCGGCTTAGTCCCAAAGTCCTTGGACTATTAAACAGCATGGTAGCCCGTTCTAACCTATTCTAATCAGCTAAGCCCTGAACCTTCCCTAAGTACTCAATGTATGTGCGGACCGTCCCCTTAGCCCAGTTGGTCATAGCGCCCGCCCTCAGAATTCCCTACCCTGGGCCTGGTGGGCTCGAGCCTCATTGGGTGCTCTTTATGTGCCCCTGACTGGGTGACATACGCCAGATGGTGGTGGCCGTGCCAAAGGTCTGGTGACGTCAGAGGGCAGGACGGGGCAAACCAAGCATTACTGTACGTTAAGCTTTCGCCTAAAAATTCTGGCAAAATTCTGGCTGTATCTTTATGTGCTGGACATTAGCGCCTTTTGAAGTCGCGCAACAAACGTCATCATGCTTCAGTGCGGCGAAATCGGCCGGCTATGGGCTGGAAGTCAGCGGCCCGGGTCACTTGATCGTTCTTAAATGACTTTCGGTAAAGCATATTATAGCAAATGCCTTCGAGATGTTTGATATTGGTTTCAAGTGGCAATGGCTGCTTGTGGCAAATGCCTCGGAGCTGAGTAACACGCACCATTTTTGGTATATCAAAAATGCACGCTATGAACTGCTGGCGTTTTGGGTTATAATATTTTCGCGAATTGGAACGTCAGATTATGGCAAAAAGGTTGAGGTTTGTTGGATACGTCATTATTCCCTGGTGGCGCTGTCGGTACCAAGCTATGATTAATCCTCGTTGAATCAAAGATATACCGCTTATCTGCTGGTGTCTTGCCTTGCAGGACGGCGGTGCGCACTTGGATGATGTTACACGCGATTGTTTCTCCCAGTTGCTCATATCATATGACTTTTGCAACAGGCATCATAGATATAGTAATGTCTCAAATTTCATCATGTACAGCTCCATTTTAAAGCTACCCACAAGCGCCACGTTAATGGGCTTATTACCGTGGGGCGAGTAATTAGTGGACGGCAACTCTCGGTCCAACGTTATGCATATGCATGAGGAATGCTTCATCTCATGCTTAAATTATCATAATTCGTCAATGATACGAACCGAATGAGTGAAATTGCAGTTCTGGGTCCCGTAAATGTGCGGATAGGAGCATTTTTTTCTTTTCAGAACCTGCAGTATGTGGTCGGCATCTGGCTGGCGTTTTGTTCACGAGCTTCGTACCGCGCAGGCGTAGCCCAGTCCTCCCCGCCCCACCGAATGACGCCCGGGGGCCGACATGGCCCCGGTGACCCCGCAGCTCTGGCGGGCCGCACCGGTGCTGGACCGAGCGCGTGCGCTGCAGCCGTTACCTCCGAGGCGTGTCACTGGACGAGGTCACGTGTGCAGTGGACGTGACCTCGGCGCCCAGCCGCCGGCAGCGGGGCGCCAAGTCCAGAGTCGTCCAGGAGACGCGCCGGCCCTCGTCGGCGTGTTGCCGTGCCTCAATAAGATGCTCTTCTGGTCTGCCCAGATCTGGCCAGCGCAGAGATGTGCAATCTCTTCCAAATTTTCAAACGTACATCCAGAATCATGTGATGGATCGATATGCACATGGGTTTCCTGAGCTTGAAACCTTTTTTGCCATTGACTTGTATCCTGGAGCTTGTTATCGTGCCTGCTCTCCGAGATCACTTCTTGTTCTCCAATTCTGTATTTCAAAAGCGACAACAATTCTCGTACGTTTGCTCCACGATGGTCGCCCAGAGGATTTTCCTGATCTCCCTGAAACCCGGAGGTGTCAAACGGTTGTATAACAATCACCATTAACGCCTGTGGCTTTCCCATCACGTCAGGCCTCGAAATTACTAGAATGGGTCTTGACAGCACCTTATGAAATAACACATACCAGTGTCATGTCGCGGCTTTTAGCTGTGGTTTAACACGTTGCATCCTTTCCGTCCGGCCATGCCAGTGGCGCATGCTGTTTCACCACCGCCCGAGCTCCGGTATTGGGAAGTTGCCAACAGTGATGTTCTGTGAGCTCTCCTCTGAATTCTGATTCGCCGCCGTGAGTGAAGTGTGGTGGCATCGGTGGCTCACACCGAGCGCCTGTCTCTCGATCTCGGGTCCTGCAGGCTTTGGCGAGGTGGCTTCGTGGCCAATGCAAGAGTGGGTGTTAGCTGGGAAACGTGGTGAAACCTGGTGTGATTGATCTTGCGGTGATCTCGCCTCACCTCGCCGGTCTGTAACCTGATCTCACGCTATGCTGCCCCAGATTCCACAATCGGCGCTTGCTAAGGTTCTCAGGGTTTGCTCTAGGAAGTCTTGGTAAAGTGTGGACAGGTCAGATGCAGTTCACCCATTAAGTGAGCCTTTTTCATTAGCGAGTGAGAACAAGTGAGATTCAACCATTAGCAAGCTATACTGTCTCACCTTGCAATCCAATAGATTGCAACATAAAAAAGCTTAGCTGCGTTGCTAGCTGTTGGCGAAAAGTGCTGAACTGGAAGGAGCAACCGAATTAATGAATGCATGCGTCAATGCATGATGGTTTTGCACTGGAGAAGAGCAAAATATCAGTCTGTGGTCAGCCTCTCTGTATATTTTGACTCTCTCTCTCTCTCTCTCATCTCTCTCTCTCTCTCTATCTCTTCTCTCTTCTCTCTCTCTCTCTCTCTCTCTCTCTCTTCTCTCTCTCTCTCTCTCTCTTCTCTTCTCTTCTCTCTTCTCTCCTCTCTTCTCTCTCTCTCTCTCTCTCTCTCTCTCTCTCCTCTTCTCTCTCTCTCTCTCTTCTCTATCTCTCTCTCTCTCTCTCTCTCTCTCTCTCTCTCTCTCTCTCTCTCTCTCTCTCTCTCTCTCTCTCTCTCCTCTCTCTCTATCTCTCTCTCTCTCTCTCTCTCTCTCTCTCTCTCTCTCTCTCTATCTTCTCTCTCTCTCTCTCTCTCTCTCTCTCTCTCTTCTCTCTCTCTCTCTCTCTCTCTCCTCTCTCTTCTCTCTCTCTCTCTCTCTCTATTTCTATCTCTCTTTCTCCCTCGATTTTACCTTGTTCTCTCTCTTGGGTTTATAATTGACTTTTGCACTTTGACCTTTGCTAAAACATTTACGAACCTCGCTGTTCGGCTCACAGCTTATGGAAAGTTCATCACTGGTTTGTGCCAAGAGGTGTGCCTATCGCTTGGTCTTTTGATCGGCGTCGCCGCGTCAATAGCCAATGGAGGAAAGCTCAGTTTTGGACCCTTATGACTCCAGACACTAGTCTCGGATCGTGTAATGATTGACACCCGACCAATCGTGTGACACTGGACCATACCAAGACTGGTAGGAAGTCCAATAGACCATGTCATCGACATAACCATGACCATGACCATGAACAAGCCATGCTAATGGCCTGACAATGATCTGGCGACCATGTCCGAGCTGTCCTGCCCGACCTTGGGACTGACCTAGCTCGGCAGTGGGTCGGGACCGGGAGGTCACGGCAGCGGTCGCTCTCGCGTGCCGTGCCGGAGAGCGTGCGGTGAAACAGGTAGGTAACAGTGTGGAACGAATGCCGACCGCGTGATGCACGCGCGATGGAACAGGCTACAGTGCGGTACGACAGGGCCGCCGGGCGGTACGGCAGCCTGCCGTGCGGTGCGACAGGCAGCCGTGCGGTGCTAGAGGCAGCCGTGCGGAATTAGAGGCAGCAGTGCGGTACGAAAGGCCACCGTGCGGTACAGCAGGCCACCATGTGGTGCGATAGCCACCTGGCGGTACGACAGGCCACCGGGTTGAACGACAGACCACATGCGTCACAACAGGCCATCGTGCGGTACGACAGTTCACCTGTGTCGAGAGGACTCGATCAAATCGATGTCGGGGCCGAACCCCACTGGACCAGCGCTCTCAGAGCTGCCCTGGAAGCAGGCTCGGTCGCTGGTTTGTGGCCAGCAAATGACCGCAATGGTGGCCAGCTCTGGGCCCTTCACACCGTCAGAATCTGGGCTATAAATTTACTGGCGGTGCAGGAGAGTTATTGTAAGTCAATACGTCACGAAGTGAGACGAAAGCGTGGCACACTTGCAATGCTGCATGCCTGGGGGCAATATTGACCATGCCAAGTGCACTGTGTTGTGCTGCAGATGATAAATGCAAGTGCATGGCGTTACGCTACTGGTGATAAATGCTTCGGGAGGCACGGTGCTGCAGACATCCGCTTTACATATGGCTAAAGCAGAATGCCGTGGTCGGTTCCCATTTTTTATCATTCTTGATGGGCGGCTGTTGTCTCACCTAATATATGGAAGCCAATTGAGTGCCGCTAGCGTAAACTGACGCGTGGCGTGTTCGGCACCACCGGCACCCGTCGGCGGCCGGTCGGCACCCGCCGGCGGCCGGTTCGGCACCCGTCCGCGGTCGGTCGGCGCCCGTCGGCGGCTGGCCGGAACCCGTCGGCGGCCGGTCGGCCGGCCGGTCAGTGGTCAGCCGTGTGACGGGCGCGGTGACGTCGCTGAGAGAGCGCCCTGGGCCGCTCCCACGCGCGGTCTCGCTCGGCAGGTCAGCGAGAGCCGACGACCAACGGGCCGCCCGACAGCCAACAGGCCGGAGCGTCAAGCTTAAAGACCGGGCTGTCAGATGCGCGGATCACCGTGTCCGACGCACGGTACCACATAGATCACCGTGTCAGGCGCACAGACCGCCCTGACGGCCACATGGCTCACACCGTGTCGACGACAACGGTCACATGGCTCACCGTGTCAGCTACGCACAGCCGCCGCCCTGACGGTCACATAGATCACCGTGCAGGCGCACAGACCGCATGAAGGGGTAGGCCACCGCGGCAAAGATACATACTACCATTTCAAACGGAGGCATGGCCCTCAGGAAATGCAAGGCCGCCGTTTCAAAACGCGCAGGCCATGAAGACCGAGAGGAGAGGAAAGATGGAGGGGGTGCGGCACTCCGCCCAGTTGAGTAGGGCTGGCATGAAACTGCTCGCCGGGAACCAGGCTCGAAACCCAACACAGAGCAGTTGTGAGGCTCGACCACCAAAACAGTGCCAATGTAGGCGACGCTCGCCTTGTTCAGACCTTCGTTAATGTACCAGTAACTTTTGCCAGGTTTGAAATAAAAGACGTCCGTCTTAACCGGTCTTAAAATTTCCAAAGGAAATTTTTAGAACAGGGTTTTTTTAACACAGCGGTTTCGGAACCATGCATGCTTGTACCCTGTACAGTGTCTCCCGTCCGGGACGCTATGGGCCAGAACGCTGCCTCAATCAAGGTAGGGCTACCGGCCCTCCGGAACCCGTACCGGTACCAGTATGGCCCCTGGCCCGCAGGACACATGCTAATTCTAGAATCTTGTGGAGTATTGCATCGTAGGCAGAAAACTCCGGGCAAAATGTAAATACGTCACATCGGAAGAGTGCGCCAAGCATTCAAGGTACTTGGCTCTAAGACGATTGTTCGGCTGGCCCATTGCCTGCCAATGTGAATGCCAGCTCGTCCCACGTGATGTCTTACTCCAAGTTGGCTGGCTCCCTGCTTGTGATAAAACATACGACGGTAGACCGCTGGGTCGACCCATCTAGCGCAGCAGTGTATGGTCAGCGCTAGAAGTAACGCTTGATGCGTAACATCTGATGATAAGCAGACCCGGCGATTCTGCCCGACCGACGCTCTCTCTCGCACCTGACACGTGGCTGGTCAAGGACGCCCGACCGACGTTCTCTCTCGCACCTGACACGTGGCTGGTCGAGGACGACCGACCCCCGCCCTCTCGCGCACCTGACACGTGGCTGGTCAAGGACGCCCGACCGACGCTCTCTCTCGCACCTGACACGTGGCTGGTCGAGGACGACCGACCCCCGTCCTCTCGCGCACCTGACACGTGGCTGGTCGAGGACGACCGACCACGCCCTCTCGCGCACCTGACCACGTGGCTGGTCAAGGACGGCCCCGACCGACGCTCTCTCTCGCACCTGACACGTGGCTGGTTCAAGGACCGCCTGCCCCCCGCCCTCTTCGCGTACCATGACACGTGGCTGGTCAAGGAACGCCCGACCGACCGCTCTCTCTCGCACCTGACACGTTGGCTGGTCGAGGAACGACAGACCCCCCCGCCCTTCTCGCGCACCTGACTACGTGGCTGGTCAAGGACGCCCCGACCGCCGCTCTCTACTCGCACTGACCAAGTGGCTGTCGAGGACCGAACGACCCCCGTCCTCTCGCGCCACCTGACACGTGGACTGGTCGAGGACGACCGACCCACGCTCTATCACGCACCTGACACGTGGCTGGTCAAGGACGCCTGACCCCCGCCCTCTCGCGCACCTGACATGTGGCTGGTCGAGGACGTCCGATCCCGCTCTCTCGAGCACCTGGACACGTAGCTGGTCGAGGACGACCGACCCCCCGCCCTCTCGCGCACGTGACACGTGGTGGTCGAGAACGTCCGATCCACGCCTTCTCGCGCACCTGACACGTGGCTGGTCGAGGATGACCGACCCCCCGCCCTCTAGCGCACCTGACACGTGGCTGGTCAAGGACGCCTGACCCCCGCCCTCTCGCGCACCTGACACGTGGCTGATCGAGGACGCCCCGACCCCACGCTCTCTCGCGCACCTGACACGTGGCTGGTCGAGGACGTCCGATCCACGCTCTCTCGCGCACCTGACATGTGGCTGGTCGAGGACGCATGACCCCCGCTCTCTCGCCCACCTGACACATGGCTGGTCGAGGACGCCCGATCCACGCTCTCTCGCGCACCTGACACGTGGCTGGTCGAGGACGCCCGATCTACGCTCTCTCGCGCACCTGACCACGTGGCTGGTCGAGGACGACCGACCCCCGCTCTCCCGCGCACTTGACACGTGGCTGGTCGAGGACGCCCGATCCACGCTCTCTCGCGCACCTGACACGTGGCTGGTCGAGGAGGTTAGTCGCAGCCGTGACGTGTTGTTCCATATTCAGGCCGCGGACTGGCTTCACCCAAAGAGAACCTTGCATGGCTGGAGGGCTTGTTCAGGGGCCAGCTGGGGAGTTCAGAAGAGCTCCATCTCGAGGACTTCCAGAAGATCATCCAAACAAAGAACGTGAGTATCTCAGCTTGCTGCGAAGTGTTGAAATTCCAAAGACGTGTAGAATGTTGCAGCTGGTGTGGTCGAAGACAGATTATTGTGTAAGACGCCATCGTGGTGCTCTTCACATCTTCGTGTCCGTTCACCACCATCCACGCTCCTTTTTTTTTAAAGGCACATTACAATTTTTCCGGAAGCATTTTTTCAACTTATGATTTTAATCCTCTTCACCCTAGTTGCGATGATGCCCAGAGTTGTCACTTGATTTCACACTGGATTGAAATTGGGATATGCATGTAAATCTTTACGGGGGCAAATTCGTAAACCAAAACGTCAAATAATCTAGTCTTCCCCAAGCGGTGTAAGTCGTTAATCCACAAAGCATGTTGGGATGACCGCTGTTCTTGTTGCACGGCCCCTCGGCGACCGCGGCTCCCAGTGTGTCGCACACCGACTGCCATCAGTCCGCCACGCCGCCGAGTGTCCTGGCGGTGCGGGAGTCGGCGCCTTCCCCGACACCCTGCCACGCTCCGCAGTCCCAAGACGTGTCAGAGCCCGGCAGCGAGAGACGGTATCCCGGCGGTGTCCCGGTGGTGCCGGAAGTCGGCGCCCTCCCCCCCCCCCCCCCCCCCCCGACATCCTGTCGCGCTTCGCGGTCCTCCTGTGACGTGTCAGGGCCCGACAGCGAGAGAGCGCGTCCTGGCGGTGCGGGAGTCGGCGCCTCCCTCCGACATCCTGCCACGCTCCGCAGTCTTGCGACGTGTCACAGCGAGAGGGTACAGCCACCGACCGCCGGGTGAGCCCCGGCGCGGCCACTGACCGCTGGCCGTCTGTTGCAGCCGTTCTTCGCGGAGCGGGTGTTCCAGATCTTCGACCGGGACGGCAGCGGCACGGTGTCGCTGCAGGAGTTCATCGACGCCATGCACCAGTTCGCCGGCCAGTCGCACGACGACAAGATCCGCTTCCTCTTCAAGGTGTACGACCTGGACGGTAGGTGACACTGTCGAGGAAGTACTGGATCGCCTGTGGCTATTGGACAATTTACGTGTCCGTCGTTGCCGATATGTGTATGGGCGTGTTTGAGTGTACAGTTATTAAGGTAGCTTTGATAAAGTGTAATTATTTTAGCAAGAAAAGCTATCATCTTCTGTTCTTCAATATTAGGAGTTCAGAGCCCTTGTGCTCAGCCTTCAGTATGCTAAGAGGTACTGGATAGAGGACGTTATAGAGAAACCATTGGTTTTGTCTACATTTGCCATGTACCATCGCCTGACCAGCACTAGTGATACATTAAAGGTTAACAAATCAGCAAGCAAACTCTGACCTCATAATGCTTATACAAGCGGTGATGTTGCAAGCCTTGTCAGGACATCGAGGCGCTGAACGGGTGCCGACGCCGCGGTTGGAGAACCGACGAGTAATGAATGTGAGAAAAGATTGCGAGATCACCATGACATGTAATGATCTTGGGAAGTCAACAGCTGATCTCTTTTGTTGCGTGCGCCTTTAGTTTGACGGCTGCTGATTTAGGACCGTGCGTCCGCTGCGCTCACACCAGGTTCACATTCCTCTGCACTTGTGGTCGTATCACTTCCCCTTCCTCCCCACTCATCCCATTTACCCCTCCCTCATCCGATGACCCGCCCATGTCCCCTCCCTCCTCCATGTGACCCGCCCGCTTACCCTCGCTCCACACATGACTCCGCGAGGTGTCCTCAACAGGCGATGGCCTGATCCAGCACCGCGAGCTGCAGCACGTGATGCATGCTTGCATGGAGGAGAACGGCATGAAGTTCAGCGACGAGCAGATCGAGGACCTGACGTCCGCGCTGTTCGAGGACGCGGACGTGCAGGGCCACGGCACCATCACGTACGAGGCGCTGAAGGCGCAGCTGGAGAAGCACGAGGGCCTGCTGGAGAACCTGTCGATCAGGTGGGTGGCGTCTGAAGGCTCGAGGTCCAGACCAAAGGGGTGGGGGTAGGGGTGGGGGGGGGGGGACCGGTCCCAGCGACACGAGGGGTCGGGGGAGGTCAGTGCAGCCGGCGCGCTCGGCGGCGCAGGCGTGATGCGTGTGACGGCCGCAGGCTCAAAGCACACCGACTCCAAACTGACGCACCTCGTCGCGGTTGCCCAAATAAAATGACCATGGACGGCGTGCGAACACACCCGGCACTCTGTTCGTGATGTTTTCTGCTGTTTTGCACTAACGCTCATGCTCCCCGTCGTTGTTGGCGGAATGCTGAGCCGTTGGAAGTGGTGCAGTCTACCTCGCACATGCTCACCATGCGTTCTTTCACGTCGCTGACCTTACCACATGTGACCCGCCGTGTGGTCGATTGTTCTTTTTAAAAGATTCTGCTCCTTTTGATTTCATGTGTCGCCTTTTCCTTGGAAGGCTCTACCTCGGTTGATTTCAGTATTGCATCCCGTAACATGTCAGAAGAGCTGGAGGCGCAATAGGAGGCTGAGGAGGACCTCAGCCTATGTTTAAGTTCAAGCTGTGGCCAAAAGAACATTTTCGGATTGCCCACTTTGTTACACAGAAGTGTCTAAGCGGCTATATGTTCTGAAGTACGGCTGCAGCCAAGACTTCAGTGAACAGTCGGAAATTATTTGTTGACCACGTGCCTTACTACATACTACGCATATTGACCAGTCCGTGGTACGAACTGCCAGCGCGAGGATGCAGGTGAAAACATGTGCAGCAGCACCTCTGGACACAACACCATATGTCCGGCTCAATTTGGATGCGGGTACGGACGTCGACGCCATGGTGTATGCGTACATAACAACGACCAATATGCTCAAGCTGAAGTATGTAACCATTTTGTCATGCGTGTTTTCCTTTCTCACAGCATCTTGAAGTCAATAGAAGGCTCATACAACGAGTGGTAATCACGAAGCTAAGAAGGGGCGTGACGTCTTGTCGCCGCTTTCGTTCTCAAGCGTGCGAATTGGCCCAGTGGTCCTTTTTGCGTCAGTCTTATCTCTCTACTCGCTATTCTCAGGTGTCGGTTGGCATTGTTGCTGAAAGATTCAACTGCCGGTTGTGTGTCCCGCAATACGTCCCGAAGCTATTTGTTGCGTCTGTCTGCTGCTATGTGGATTGCCTCATGTAATCATGTTGGTTAGGAGTACAATATCAGGAGCGCGGGGATTCAGCGCTTTCCATTACACTTTGTGTTCTGGTAATAGGTACACCGGTTCTCGAGGGAGAGCGAGGAGGTAGCAAATACATCCAATAATTCCACGTGACCAAATGCCGCCGCACGACACTAGACAGCTGTCCTCATCACTGAAGTGAGCCTCGTGCATCCAATTTGTGCTTCACAAGGCCAAGTGTTTGTCGTACGTCGTGCAGTGCTTTGAAACATGACACCCTTACAAGCTAAAGTCATGCCAAGACAGTAAAAAGCGAAAAACTATGGCTCAGTGAGTTCTAAAATGACTTGTCACTCTCACTCGGTAACAAACCACATCACATTCAATGCGCCAAACATGTGGAGTCGCCACCGTGATGACAGGGCGAGACAGGTTGAGCCTGGAGAGACGACAGACTGACGGCAGGCTAAGACGGTGTTAACCTGGAGAGACGACAGACTGACGACAGGGTAAGACTGGGTGAACCTGGACGGTGAACCGTCCAGGTAGTTTGACACGACAGAGTAAGACTGGGTGGACCTGGTGAGACGGCGGACTGACAGCAGAGTAAGACTGGGTGAACCTGGAGAGGCGACAGACTGACAACAGGGTAAGACGAGGTGAACCTGGAGAGACGGCAGACTGACGACAGAGAAAGACTGGGTGAACCTGGATAGATGACAGACTGAACGACAGGGCAAGACGGGGTGAACCTGGAAAGACGACAGACTGACAACAGGGTAGGACGGGGTGAACCTGGAGAGGCGACAGACTGGACGACAGGGTACGACTGAGCAAACCAGGAGAGAAGTAAGACAGGACAGCAGGGTAATACTGTTTTTCCCAGGTGAGACGGCAGCCTGGACGACAGGGCGATCCTCGATAACCATTTGCGAATACAGCCATGCCTTTTCTCGGAGCACATCATTTTGACTTCCTGCCCGGGTTAGAGTTTTACTTTCTACGCACTTCACAGAGCCGTTTGTCGTGCTTGCTGTGGGCGGGAGCTTTTTTAGGCGTTTGATGCGCGCACTGATCGTCCTTGCTGTGGGCTGGGAGCTTTTTCAGGCGTTTGATGCGCGCACTGAGACCCAGTCGACTCAGAACCCCTCGCAGTGTTAGTGGTCAGGTCCGCTTTGGTATCGCATCCATGTGTTGCGATGTGTCCGTGTTCAAGTGTCCGTGTCATTTGGCACGCCGCCATAAAGTGTCATAGTGACAATGGGTCTTGATCTGAGCTAAGATTCGGTGAAAGTCCGGCTCACAACGCGACTTGCTTCACGAGTATTGTTTGATTACACATGCCTAATATGCGTGTCTATTGTTAGTTCAGTGGCACTATGCCACGCATTCTATCATTGTGTCTGTTCTGTTGTATGCACAGTGCTGCATTTGAGGAATTAGACATCGCAATCTAAACCACGTATGCTGTAACAACCCACATCTGTGGCGAACCATTCACGCCGTAGCTTCATCGTCCCCATCATCTCCAGTACATGCCATCACCTGGTGATAAGCGCAGTTGAGCGCTAATCACCGTGTTCGCCGGGCATGTTCACAGCATCGATCGCTGGCTGGTGCCGCCGCAGCCGCGCCGTGGACTCTCCTTCCTGCGCCAGCTCACCTCCGTCAGGCCCTACCAGTTCTCGCTGCCTTACATCAGGAACAACTACACGTACCTGGCCTTCCTCTTCGCCTTCCTGGCCGTCAACGTAGGCCTGTTCGTCTCGCGCTGCGTTCAGTTCAGGGGCCTGCCCGGCTTCTACGTGCTGGCCAGGGCCTGCGGTGAGTGGGACGGCGGCTCAGGCGGCGGTAGGCGGGCGCTGCGTACAGTGCAGGCCCCGAGCGCGAGAGACGCCTGCTCTCTTCGTCAGATCTCACGCACACGGCACGCCTTGTTGGTAGCGTCGGGGCGTGCAATGACCCCGAAGAACATTGCGCGGAACTCGGCACTCGGCGATTGGCAGACGTGTTGATTGTAAATACCTGCCTAATATTCTCAAAATATTTTTTTCTGTTTTTTATTATCCATTAACAGATGTGCTAGCCAACGTCGAATCGCGTTTGCAAACATCTTGCCTCTCAGTATCTCCAATATGGCCAACTGGCATAATAGGCTTACACATGTTTGACGAACCATGTATTGGGCACTGGAAAAGACGACAAATTTCACCAAAACAGGCCATTTGAGCCAATTGCATGACACCTTACGAAGGCAACAAGCGTAGAAGGATAGTCTTTATTTTGACGGTTTTTCTTGTGCATGGGCTCAGAGGGTCATCAAAAATGTTCAAATAGTATATTGATGGCCTTTCAAATGTAAGCGTAGATAACTGTTACTTGAAACTCTTTAAAGCATTGTACGTATTTTTGAAACAGCAAATTGTATTGTTTGTCATCTCAATGTCAAACAATATCGAACATGGCTGGAGGGCGTGCAACACCATTCCACTTCGCGTTAGTCAATGGAAAATATCATCCAAATAACTCTACGTCTGTTCAGAACACAACCATCGACGGACTTTCAAATGGCACGCATCTTTTGATCAGCAGAGCGCACAATTTTCAAAAGGCTTGCTTCTTGATGGGTAGTTCAACGTTGCAACAGCTTTCAGCAAATCCTGATGAGAAGGGCCAATTGACAGCCCATAGAACACGACGTTTGTAGTTCTATGCATTGATTATGATCTCGTTCCGATTTCTGTTAAAACTGTTTTCGCTATGATCTATGGATAAAGCTCGTACTTGAAGTAATTTGCTTCTCGTGCAGATGAGAACCTAAATATGGTCTATGTAACAAATCTATCCGCGTGTTCGGACTGGCAGTAACATCTTATCATAGAAAATCAAAGTATATCATGCCGAAACATTCTCCAAGTACTCTATCTATGCACGAAATTAACGAATCACACGCGACGCCAGTCATAGATACCATAATAGCTATTTCAACCTACACGGACATAGTTTGTCGCTGTTTAGCGTCTATTTCCTTGACTGCCACGGTTGCAGGACAAACGCTGAATTTCACCTGCGCGTTCATCATAGCCGTGATGCTACGGAACGTCATCACCTTCGCGCGCTCGCACGGCCTGGGGTCGTTCCTACCTCTCGACGAGCACATCTACTTCCACAAGATGGCCGGCATGTTCGTGTTTGTCTACAGCGTGGTTCACACATTTGCGCACCTCTGCAACCTTGGTGAGAGCCTCGCAAAAGCCTGTGACATCTGCTGATTGACGTTGGATCTGCATTGTGCATTCATTGTTGCGGGCTGCTCGCGTGTTGTAAAACAACGCCTGTCGATACGACGCGTAACATGTGGAGTTATTGTCACTAGATGCTTTTTCTGAGCTCCTGTTCCTTACCACGACTTTTAAAGTTTCATTGCCGAGTTACCGTGGTCTTTCTCTGGGGTCTTATAACTGCATATTGACTGTACGCTGTACTGTCTAATTCTTGCTCAGTGTGATATAATGCATTCACCGCGCGACTTGATGTCATTAATATGCCCTTAGACTTGGCATGATGTATGCGATCCTCTCTTCAGACATGCGATGGGTTACAGCAGTGCCATGACACATAATGTTATGTTGACGCGTACCCCCCCGCACGTTTCGGACATGCGGTGAGGAGTGATGTGAATACCACGTCACATCACGTCACATTGACGTGCGTGCCGTGCAACTGAGGCCCGGCCGCCTGCCGCAGCCCTCAACGTGGTGCCGCCCGACGGGCCGCTGAGCGCCCTCAACTCCGGCAACTTCACGTACGCCGAGTGGCTGCTGACCATGCGGCCGCGCCGGTTCGGCCTGGTGCCGGGCCTGGCCAACCCTAGCGGCGTGGCGCTCATGCTGATCCTGGCCGTCATGGTCATCTGTTCGCAGCCGTTCGTCCGCAAGCGGGGCAACTTTGAGGTGAGGTGTGCGGCGGCCGCCTGCGGACGGCTGGCTCGCGCCGCCGTAACCTACAGTGAGCTGCACCCTGCCGAGCTGGAGCACTTGCACGCTCAACCTCAACATCCAGAGCAGCCTCGGCTGGTACCTTAATTTGCGTGCTGTCTAGTTATCACACGCTACTATGCTGGCGTATAATGTGCCTTATCCTCTTCAGCTGTTAAGCATACGTGATCTAGTCGAAAGGTATTGCGTGCGGTGCATTGGTACCAGGTAATAATTGCGGGATCCCTTTGTGCCGCCATCCATTGGTACCAAGTAGTGACTGCGGGATCCCTTTGTCCTGTCATCCATTGGTACCAAGTAGTGACTGCGGGATCCCTTTGTGCTGTCATCCATTGATACCAAGTAGTGACTACGGGATCCCTTCGTTCTGCCATCCATTGGTGCCAAGTAATGACTGCGGGATCCCTTCGTCCTGCCATCCATCATTAATGAATAAGGAGGCGCTTCCCTAGCCTTTGCTTGGCTGCCATCGCAGAGTATCCATCCCGGTGCTGGCCTGCTCTACACACCTCAGCTTACATAGTCACTGGTCAGGCCAACTTCAATAAATGCTGCACGTGTGCGGGCAGCACCCGATTAAAATAAAAGCAAATGGAGCGTCATGTAGCTGGAGCGGGAGGTGTGCACCACTTGAGGATATATTCACTATCGCCTATCTGAAGCGTAAATGTGCTTTGACGTCTTTTCCAGCATTGACCACATATTATGGTCATAATTTTCCGTGCTTGACACCATTTATCCTGTTTTTGTCGTGTTGTATAGATAGCAAAAATCTCACAAAAATCTCTCAACCCTGGAGATTGGTAGGGTATCGTGGTGGGCTGACCCGGCACGGACTGTCCAACAGGTGTTCTACTGGACCCACCTGCTCTACGTACCATTCTTCGCCCTACTGATCCTACACGCTCCGAACTTCTGGAAGTGGGTGATCCTGCCGGGCGTCATATACGTGGTGGAGCGTGCTGTCCGTTTCGTGCGCACCCGGATGGGTCACGGCAGAGCGTTCATCAGCTCCGGCATCCTGCTGCCCTCCAAGGTCACACACCTGGTGCGTGTGGCGGCGGGTCGTGCCGTGCTCACCTCAGATCTGCGCTGATGGACCGGATCGGATCAAATCAAATCGCATCAGATCAGATCATATTGAATCGGATCTGATCTCATCTGATCTGGTTTTAACTATTCTGATGTAATCTGATCGGATCAGATTCAATCGGATCAGATCAGACCATACTGAATCTGATCTGATCTAATCTGGTGTTTACGGATCTGATCTGATCTGATCTGATCTGATCTGATCTGATCGGACTCGGATCCGTGTTTGAATTCGGATTTAGATCGGGATTAGGATAGAGTCGGATCGGATCGGAGGAACGGATCGGGTAGGATCGGATCGGATCGGAGAGGATGGGATCGGGTAGGATCGGATCGGATCGGGCAGGATTGGATCGGATTGGATCGGGTAGGATCGGATCGGATCGGATCGGGGAGGATCAGATCGGATATAGTCAGATCGGATCGGATCTGGGATGTCTGTGAGGTGGTGGCCAACGGGCGCCTTCTGTATGCCCGTAATAAGCAACGTTGGATAGCGAGGAGTCGTACCTTATCTTGAATCTAAATTTCAGTATACGGGGAGGTGGAGCCCAAAAGTTCCATGAAATCCTGCGCCCTTGCTTGCTGCCGACTTCCTCCATGCGTTCACACGGTGAATAGTGATTGACACTGTCAACTAGGGGCGTTATCTGTTATCTACGGCTCAGCCTGCAGCTGGGCCGGACGATGATGCCTCCGCCACCCTAAACTCGATCCGATTACCTGCGCTGTCCGTCGGGATTTCCGGATAGGTAACACTTTTGCATCAATTATTATTTTGAATTGTGATAAATATAATAACAGTGTTGCCACTTAATTTGTGAGCTTTGATGAATGTTACATGGAGAGTGATGGCTAGAAAATAAGTAAAAATAACATTGGATCACCCAGCACCGGCGAGCGCATGTTTGAGCAGATCTGCCGTCTTTTCTAAATGCATTATCCAGCCGCGCACGCCCTTGCTGTCGGTCGGAGGCGAACTTCGCACGAAGGCTCTGATTTGAATTCCTCTGCAGGTGATCAAGCGACCAGCCAACCTGGACTACCACCCTGGCGACTACATCTTCGTCAACATCCCCGTCATCGCCAAGTACGAGTGGCATCCGTTCACCATCAGTAGCGCGCCGGAGCAGCACGGTACGCTGGCCCTATGGGGGGACGGGATTGAACAACAGTGCGGCACGCCGGCCCTGTGGCGGGGGACCGACTTGAACTAGAACGCGATACGCCGGCCCTATGATGGGGGATGGGGCCGAACGAAAGCACGGTACGCTGGCCCTACGGCGGGAAACGGCGCCGAAATAAACGGCACTGACATAGGCCCGCCTGAGCGACGTGTGTTCAGGGACCACCAGGCGCTCATTCGGCGGTAATTATCATTTTAATCACTTGTCTTGTCTTAGTACCAGATACACGGCATGTGTAACAATATATCTATTTTATATAAGCGTCGCCGAATCCATAACCAAACCAGTGGATAAGGCGCCCCGCTTCAGATCAAGAGCTCCGAAAAGGATTATTTTTCTCCGCAAAAATTGTCTCTGGACCGAGCCTGTACCATCGAGATTGGCGCATCATCGCGTTGATATCCCCTGCGTGGATTAATAACCACGCAACATCGGCAGACACGCTGTGGTTGCATATTCGGGCTGCCGGCGGCTGGACAAACCGTCTGTACGACTACTTTGAGGAGGAGCAGCTGAAGATCGAGTGCCTCGAGGAGATAATGGACGGTGACGACTGTAACTCCGACAAGGGCCAACAGGTGCCCAAACAGGAGGAGTCCAGCCTCCAGAAAATACAGAAGTAAGTTATGCTGTTCTCTCTGCCAGCCGAGCATTGTGACGCGAGAAGTAAGCATGCGTGCATAGCATCGGTGGATATGGAGAGCATCGGTGGATATGGATTAGCATCGGTGGATATGGAGAGCATCGGCGGATATGGATTAGCATCGGTGGATATGGAGAGCATCGGTGGATATGGAGAGCATCGGTGGATATGGATTAGCATCGGTGGATATGGATTAGCATCGGTGGATATGGATTAGCATCGGTGGATGGGGAGAGCCTGTGGTTCACCTTTTCTCAGTCGTTCCTTATGTTGTCTCTGAACGTTAGAGCTGCATCATTGTCTTAAAGGTCAACTAGATAAGAATATTAACATAGCGGCAAACAGCTTTATATGTATAGATAGTATTCGGCTGTTTGCAACATATTTTCTGCAAGACTTCAAATATAGTGAGGTTAAAATGTTGAAAATGCTTTTAAGTTATTCGTGCAGAAATGGTTGCCCTATATTTTGGTGATATTTTTACGTTTTTTATTGTGAAATTTGCGGCAATCGTAAATCTAAAAAATGTCCTGCCTAGTGCCAGATCTGTACGAAATATCACGAATGCAAAAGTATCTTTCAGGTCATAAATGATCTGAAGAAAGTGTATGCTGAGTAGAAGACGCTTATAGCGTTCAGGGGCGGACTCAGAGATGCCATGGGGGCCATAGTGGGCCGAAAAGACGCAGATTTTTACACTCAAAACGCAGCAAAATTGGACCTTCTTCAGGCTTTTACGCGACCAAGAACAGTCACTAGCAAAAGTGGAGGACCCACGGGCAGACAAAAGCTTTTCTTCACTGATTGACAAGGCGGTGATTGGGATGTTTCAAGGCTCATTTCGCCGTGCAGGGGACCTACGCCGTTTCCGGGGGCACTATCTGTTCACTTGCAAGGTCAATTCCATCCTTAAGGAGCCTTCAACGTTGCCCTGGATTTCTTTGCACTTGTTCGGAGGGTCCTGCACTGTCGCTGGGGCCATTCCTGGTAGGGTGCCGGAGCACTCTTGTCAATCAGGGGCCTTCCACAAATCTTTCCATTCGCCCGAAAGGTTCTATACACTACTGGCGGGGGGGGGGGGGGGGGCATATTTTAACCCGCTGGGGTATTCTCGACTGCTCAAGAGCCCTTCACGCTGATCTCGGTTAACCGACACACGTATGATATACTCATGGGCCCTCTACATTGGTCAGGGGCGCTTCCATTGGTTTGTGACTTGCTGAGCGCCCTACGCCCTCGACGAAAGCCTATCTGTTAACCTGCTCGGGCGCACTCGATCATTCCGGGACCCTGCATAGTGTGTCTTGGGTACTTCTGCTCTGAAAAGATTATCCTACGCACTTTTGGACCCATCTACTAAGCTACTCTGGACAGTTGCGGATCCAGAAGGGTGAGGGCCACATAATCATTACGCTAGTGCCCCAAGCGCAGCCAAAGGCTACGAAGCACTCCATAACCGGGCGAACGGACGTAGTTTTCTAACACAAAACACAACAAAACTGAACGTCTTTGGGCCTCCAGACGTCCAAGAATAATCGCAAGCGAAAGTGAGAACATGCGGGCAGACCAAGTTTATTCTTCACTGGTTGTAAGGGTGGTGATTGAGACAAGTTCTGAGGCTCTTGACGCTGCGCTGAGGCTTTACGCTGTTGCCGGTGCCCTATATGTCTAATTGCCGGGTCAATGCAATCGCTAAGGGCCTTTCTACGTGGCCCTTGATGTCTTTGAATTCTCTCGTGGGGCCCTAAGCTGCTGCTGAGGTATTATCTGCTAACATGCCTAGGCACTCTTGACCGATCAGAGGCCTTCCAGGAATCCCTCCCACTCGTTCGAAAGGCTCTGTACGCTTTTGCCGGGGTGAACTTAGTTACTCAGGAGCCCTTCACATTGACCTCGGGTTTCCTTTACGTTCATCTAGGTCTCTTTTCTTTTGATTTTATTTGCGGAGGACCCCCTTCTCTTATCGGCGCCCCCCCCCCCCCTGTTAACCTGCCCGCATATCTTTGATCGCATCATGTACACTGGTCTTGAGTAATTGCCCTTTGTTCAGAGGGCCCTGTGCCCCGGCCGTGGTCCTATATGTCAGTGGGCCGGGGCATTGACGATCGTTCAGGAGTCACCACGATGGTCTTGGTCTCTTCTCGCTTGCTCTAAAGACCCTATAGTTGTTGACAGGGTCCTCTTTGTTTGCCTGTCGTGACACCATCGAACGAGCAGGTTCCGTCCCTATTGGCCTCGGTGCCTTACCCTTAGAACAGCAGTCGGATAGGCGCCGATGGTTTTTACGCGCAAATATGAAACAATATTTTGCGTGTCGACGACGTTGTATGCGTCATTTCCGTTGGCCACTGAATTTAAGACACTTATTACACTTGTTTATCACGTTCTTAATGCATTTCGAATGCCAAGATACTTTGCCTCTTTCATAACAAACAAATCAAAAGTTCCGCATTAGTCATCAGCCATCAGCTGAACACAGCAACTAACCGGCTAACCGTAAATACGACAGGAATCAAGGCTGTGCTTGATTTTGATGATGTTTGGCACCACACTTAATTGTTTTGTCCCGATTTTTTTCCGAATTGCTTAGCCTCAAAATGACAGGATCCGCCATGACTTGGTGAAAATGGACAAGCTCCACGTTTGTGCGGACGTAACACGCCTGGTTCTCTAGGACTATGCACAGCAAGATAGGTTCCCGTATAAAACAGCATGCTAAGAATCTTTGAGACTTAATGTCCGGAACGCGACGATTTTTTCGAGCAGCCCCCATTTCTAGGGGAAGGACCACAATGTTGCGTGCCCCCCTCCCCCCTCTTGACGCAATACTGGATCCGCCTCTAGCAACGGCTGTTGGTTGACATTTCAGGTCGATGAAGAAGCTTGCTAAGCCCGTCGACAAAGACCGGCGTATCAGCTTCAGCACAAAGCCGCCCGAGATCCTTAGCGGCGGGACCGAGAACGGGGCGTACACAGGAAACCAGGACGTATCGATGGAACCGATCGACGAGGAGGACCAACAGAGTAAGCTGGAACATGTCAAACATGCCAGAGCTCCTACACCTTATTTGCGCTACCCAACTCGACCCTTGGCTGCATTTGCCATTGCATTGCCATTACCGAAACACCAGGAACTGGTTCTCGGGATAGACGTCGTCCATATCCCTGTTATTATTAAAGTATTTACGGCACTCGTGCTGACAAATGCATGTCAGCTGCGATCAGCATGCGTATTTGCCGCACGTAACCCGTTTCTTCCGTCATGGTTATCACGCCAGCATAGTTGATGCGGTATAGCAGTAGTGCTCAAGGTATCAGAACTGAATGCAGAACCGAATTCGTTCGGCGGCACTTTTGCAACAGGGCCTGAGTGTGCTCAAAAATGTCGGTTTACCGTTGACTAAGCTCAAAGCCCGTCTGTGCCAAACTGCTGGCAGCGTCTGGCGCTGTCTTGGTGGCGTTTGGCGCTGCCAGCGCCGCCTCAGCCTTGTTGACCGCCCACCCCGCTGGTGCCGTGCTGCCTCCCTCAGACGGTGACGGTGATCGCGTCGCGGCCTGCGGCGGCCCCGAAAATGGACACCCGTTCACCAACAGGAGGGTGCCCCTGCTGAAGACTATCTCCCTGCCAGACATGGACTACCGCGTGAAGAAGCGACAAAAACTGCTCCTGTGCGTTGGCGAATATCGAGAGTCGAAGGAATTGTGATGCCGGGAATCGAGGCATTGCGAAAATCGAGACGTTGCTGCTCCTGTCCAAAATTTGTAGGGTGCATTTTTCCGTCATTGGCCGAACCCATGGAGACGCGGGAATTCTATGTAACATTTGTAAGCGGGCATGAACCCACCGTATCTGGAGGTCGAGGTTGTGGTTTGACCACGATGGGAACAACAAAAACGTACTGTCCTTTGAAAAGGATGAGGTATGTAGATTGTAACCTGTACCACCCACGAGAGTACCTCACAGCGACGGATACATGTACGTGTGACCGGCTTGTATGCACTGAACTTGTCAAACAACAAGGGGCATTCGTCAAAGCGAACTAACAACAGTAAATAGGTCAGTTGTTACCAATCACTGACCATTCAGCGAGTATCCAGAACAGTGTAACGCCCCTGGCCCAGTGCGCCGGCTCACGGCGGTCCTGTGGCCGACCGGGGCTTCAGCGACGGTGCATGACCTCTCGTGTGCTGCGTGCTAACTCGAGCCGTCTTGCAGTCTGCGCGGTCAGATTCGCTCCAGCTCGGAGCGAACGTTTGACGACAAGACCATGCAGAACGCCCACAATCAGCTGGCTAATCTGCCGTATCTCGTGAGTATTCACTGGGCCTATACCTTCACCAGGCCTTCTTTGCAAAGATTGCGTTCTCAAGAATCGCGCCAAGATTCGAGTACTTGTAAACGGTCAGGATAAGTGGTCAGAGGCGACAACTTGGCTTGCATTGAAACTGGACCCTATCAGCGCAGGCGCGCCTTCGAGCGTCTTGTTTTGGCTAGTGTTGACCTGTACTTGATTAGTGCTGGGACGACCCCGACCCTCCCGCCTCAGTGCGGAGCAGCTCTAAGGAACATTTTCTCCGCTGGTTTTACATCCCATGTGACGTCATAGCTCACCAGGCTACACCCGACAAGCAAGGCACACTTATTTTGGCTGCACCCCGCATGGCACAGCTGAATAGGTACTTGGGTACATACATACATCCTTACTGCAATGCACTGGCAGTGCATTTGCAGTGCAGGATCTGACCACCCACGACGTGGGCCATTTAAAATAATTATTTACTCAAACACACAATCAGGCCTAGCTTTGTTTGCGGTGTAACGTGATAGTAAAATGGTTATACCATTCTGAAGATGTCATGTAATATGGATACTCCGCCTGCTCTGAAAGCACAAACTGGACAGAATGCCTCTGCCGGTTGGGGTACCACGGCTTCCGCCATCTAAACCTCAGCTTCTTGGATGCGAAGCCGAAGCAGAGGGATACAAATATACATATATATATATATATATATATATATATATATATATATATATATATATATGTGTGTGCATCAAAGCAGGCTTGGTACATCATTGTTCTGCGTTACTGCACGTGCTGCCTCACTTAACAGCATGCATTTGGATTTCGTTACAGAGACCCCCGGCTAAGGTACGTACTGGGTTAGTACGCCCTTCTTCAAGAAGCCGTGCAATGTGGTTTTGTCTTCAAAAGCTTATTTGCTTTCGTTGCCTGCTGGCAATGTGCTTATTCTGCGTACGTTGTCATCGGAATTTTCTCATTCAATGCAGAGCTGAGGACATTTGGACACTACAATGGTTGTAAATATAGCTTGCGAACCTGTGCATTTTAGGCGGGTAAATTGACCTGTTCCAAATTTCCTTGCACTTATTACCTTTGTTTTAAAAGAAACAAAACGTTTTGAAAGAAAGCTCAACTGCCATGACATGACGTGGAACTGGTATGGGCGAGCCATCTTCATGACCTGGTATGGTCTGTGCTCATTCGGAACAACAAATAAGTACTTAATCGGACTGTCACACAAATATTTCTCACTCTTAGCCGCTGGCTTGGAACGATGCGGATTGCACGAAAACGGTATGTTATTTCGACAAATCAATTAGTTCAAATTTTAGTTTACGGTATGTGAAGCATCGATAACATTCGGAAACCAACTGCCGAATCCAGAAGCCGGAATGGAGGTGCCAGCTGTCCATCATACGTGTGTAGTATGACCAAACAAGGCGCAGAATTTCACGGGGTGAAAGTAACTTTTGTATGTTTTTTTTTACCCTTAGACTGTCATGCTCACAACATGTATAACACGCAGCCTTATCAACCGTGCGAGCCTCAGCTGGTTTTGTTGTACGTGTTTGGGTGTTTCTTACCGCGCTCTCAATTGTCATGCCGTTCATGTCACTCATCATGTTGTCGTCTTATGTGTGGCTTTACCTCTACGCTTGGCCGTCGTGTTACATGTTTATGGTCACTGTTGCTCGCGTCCTGAAACTGCTTTCGTAGTTATAAAAAAATTACACTGCTATATTTATACTCTTACCTATTCAGGCAGCACTCTTACCAATAAATATCACTCATCAAGTCCATCAGTTCCCTGATGCCCGGTATTTTTTATACCGTTTAACAATTTGATTTATTGGCACATTTGTAAGGTAAGTGCTTCTTACACTGGTTGTTAGTTCTTTACGCGCCAATTTCAGTGGCCTCAAGACACGCTCTGCGCTCTCCCAGCCGCAATGTCGCCCAAAATCCCCGCAGTCACACAGAGTCCTCACCGTCACACAGAGTCCCCACCGTTACACAGAGTCCCCACCGTCACACAGAGTCCCCACCGTCACACAGAGTCCTCACCGTCACACAGAGTCTCCACCGCCACACAGAGTCTCCACCGTCACACAGAGTCCCCACCGTCACACAGAGTCCCCACCGTCACACAGAGTTCCCACCGTCACACAGCGTCTCCACCGCCACACAGAGTCCCCACCGTCACACAGAGTCCCCACCGTCACACAGAGTCTCCACCGCCACACATAGTCCCCACCGTCACACAGAATCCCCACTGTCACACAGAGTCCCCGCCGCTACACAGAGTCCCCACCGTCACACAGAATCCCCACTGTCACACAGAGTCCCCGCCGCTACACAGAGTCCCCACCGTCACACAGAGTCCCTACTGTGCCGGGTGCTGCAGTGATTCGCTGGCTTCCTGCCGCAGAGTCCGCAAAATAAGTCGGTGGCGCACAGCTTCCGCTACATGCGCCGCAAGCCCACCATCATCGCGTTCAAGACGCCTTCCCTGGATAGCCTGGGAGCGGCGGCGCGGCCCGAGCGGCCCCGCTCCGACCCCGGCCAGGCGGAGGAGGGGCACGCGCCGACAACGGCGCCGCCTAGCGGGACAGAGCTGCGCTACCCGGTCGGCAAGCCGCTGGAGGTGAGGACAGTGTCCGGTGAGCCACTGGAGGTGAGGGACACTGTCCAGTGAACCGCTGGGGGTGAGGGACTCTGCCCGGTGAGCCGCTGGAGGTGAGGGACACTGTCTGGCTGCTGAGCCGCTGGAGGTGAGGGACACTGTCCGGTGAGCCGCTGGAGGTGAGGGACACTGGCTGATGAGCGACTGGAGGTGAGGGACACTGGCTGATGAGCCGCTGGAGGTACCGGGCAGTGTCTGGTGAGCCGCTGGAGGTGAGGGACACTGTACGGTGGGGCGCTGGAGGTGAGAAACACTGTCTGGCTGGTAAGCCACTGGAGGCGAGGGACACTGTCCAGTGAGCCGCTGGGGGTGAGGGACTCTGTCTGGTGAGCCGCTGGAGGTGAGGGACACTGTCCGGTGAGCCGCTGGAGGCGAGGTACACTGGCTGATGAGCCGCTGGAAGGATTCCAGTCCGGTGAACCATGTGGGTAATTTCCACAGAACAAATATGCCGTTCTGCGCGTTCTACTCCCCCACTTCCTCCGTCCCGGTAATGTTTTCCCCGTCGGTGGTGTACATTGGGCGAAAGAGGTTGAGTCGTTCATTCCCCCCCCCCCCCCCCCCCACCACCACATGACAAGCCGTCCTGCATTCGTGTGGTGACGACCGGCCTGGGACGATACAATGACCCCGCCGTTCATTCGAATAGCGCTGACCAGCACTGCGCGAGGCGGACAAATCTTATCGCATAGAACTGACCAGTGCCATGGAACTGACCACTGACCAGTGCCACGGAACTGACCACTGATCAGTGCCATGGCGTGAGGGTGACCACCCCTCCCGCCCGACCCGCAGATCTACTTCGACGGTCCTTACGGGGCGCCGTCCAGCCACATCTTCCGAGCGCAGCACGCTGTGCTGATCGGCACGGGCATCGGCGTCACGCCGTTCGCCTCGATCCTCCAGTCCATCATGCACCGTTACTGGAAGAACTGTCACCGCTGCCCGCGCTGCCAGCACAAGTGGACGGACGAGCTGCCAGCCTCCGTCATGAACCTGAAGAAGGTACGCTGGGCCGGCGCGCGGCGGCGCCGTATGATACCGCGGGCGTCAGGACCCGCCACAGCGTGACTGGTGGGGCGGCGATCCGGCCCGAGCAGACAGCGCCGTGGCCGGTGCGGATCAGGGAGGGGTGATCGCTGTGGGGAGGGGTGAGGGCGCTGCACAGCTGCGCTGAGGGGTGCCGGTCGTTGACTGGGATGAGCATCATGCGCTACTCTGGTGAGGACCACAGTTCTCCAGCTCTGGCGCTCATTTCTGCTTCTCACTTTGCTACAGCATGTCTTACTCATGCCGGGAGTTGTCTCAAAATTTGCGCATGTCCAGGAATTGAAATGACTTGCCTCCGGGCGGTGCTCGCCTGAGGGAGGGCAGGGCCATTTCCAGCCGCCGGCGCCGTCCCATGACCGGCTGTCGGCTTCAGGTGGACTTCTTCTGGATCAACCGGGACCAGCGCTCGTTCGAGTGGTTCGTGAACCTGCTGTCGCAGCTGGAGATCGAGCAGGCCGAGCTGGGCGGCGTCATGGACCGCTTCCTCGACATGCACATGTATATCACATCGGCGCTGCAGAAGACGGACATGAAGGCCGTGGGTCTCCAGCTGGCGCTGGACCTGCTGCACGAGAAGGTTCGTCTTAACTGTCCATCCGAATGTACGCTTCGTTGGGAGATTACCACACTTTATGTCATTCGCGCTTACGTACGAACTTCGTGCTCAAGCCTTTAAAAAATACAGACGGACTTTGCTCATCACAGAGCTTCCGGTTCTGCAGTAAGCATTCGTAGCCATGTTAAACGAAGCCCGTTCCGTGCAGTGCAGCTCATCGAAATGTACCTGACTAGTCGAAGCGAAACCGCACCTGCTTCCGGAATCGAGAGCGCTCCCCACTCGTGCTCTGTCCCGTACTCTCTTTTCGCCAGTCACTCGCGTGGTCCTGTGTGTAAATGTTTTCCTGCGCCGCTCTGAGACGAGCGCGCCGGTGCGTCCCGGCTCTGCGGCTCCCTGTGACGTCAAACCCGCCGGCAGGAAAAGCGGGACATGATAACCGGCCTGAAGACGCGCACTATCGCCGGCCGACCCAACTGGAACAAGGTGTTCCGCCAGATCCAGGAGCAGCGCAAGGGCAAGGTGACGGTCTTCTTCTGCGGCCCGCCGCAGCTGTCCCGGATCGTGCGGCACAAGTGCGACGAGTTCGGCTTCGAGTTCCGCAAGGAGAACTTCTGAGGGCGAGCGTGCCGCCGCGCGAGGGCCGGGATGGCCGCCTCTGGGAGGGCGCCTGGGAAGGGCGGCCATCCTGCGGCAACAGGTCAGAGGGGTGCCTGGAGACGCTGGAGTCGCATGCTCGCCTGGCCGGAGGTGAGGTTGAGCACCGCGACGCTACCCATGGATGGCCGCTTTTGCGTGGGGTTGTGTAACGCAGCGCTCAACGGGGATGTACTCCTGTGACGTTGACGGTGTGCAAGAAGGAAGCTGCGATGGGAAACGGGGAATGAATGTGTGATTGGCTAAACTGGCAGGTTGTTTGGAACGAATGCACGCGAGTATTTATGCACTTCTTGTGTCATATCTGAAACAGAGCAGGCAGCAAACGTTTAAACCTTAAGGTAACCATGTACTCTAGCCGCGTAATATTTAAACCATTGACTGCGATTTTTCGTGAATTTGAATATACTTGACATTGGATGGCCGAGCCTTTACGGACTGTCGTTGATCGTGTGATAGTCTATCGGAAACACAAATCTTACCATAGTGCTTCACATTGTGGATTTTTGTAGCGGCCCTCATTTCCAAACCTTATATTGACGCACTGAGCACGACACGCCTACTTCGCTGTTCAGAATGTGGTGACAGCCTGCTGCCCTTTGTAATATTTCATTCACGTGCCCGCTCTCCTGCACATTTTTGTTATGCGAATGCGGTGGTGTAACCACGCGCGCGATCGAATGACCACACGCAAAACAATGCTGGTAGACCCTAACTTAGCAGCATGAAGGAATACTGACATCAGATTAAGAACTGCAATGTTGTGGCTTCATGCAACTAGCAATTTAGTGACAAGGTCTGGTCAGTTCTAGATTACGCATCGCGAGCCGTACACCACTTCCCTAAGCCGGGGAGGCACCGACATGCTTGTGGTTGAATGGAATCGAATGCAATTTCGGAGTCGCTTTGTTTTGGTCAGCATCGAATATGATTCGACGCCATCGGTTGTTCCGCTGCATCGGAGTTTGAATTAATTCATATTGTTTGCGACGGAACGAGAACAATTGGCTATCACTCGCTTCCACCTGCAATGGAGCACAATTCCAATACTTAACAGTGATGAATCATATTCGGATTTGGCTCCACATAATTCGATTCAGATTTGGAGTAGATTCCTCCCAAGTGGAATGGAGCACAAGTCTGGTCACTGATGGTCTGTTTACCCGCACACTACCAGCTGAGGGAGGGAGGGGAGGACGAGTTATTAGGGGACGTGTCTTCGTAACCGGGTTCCTGTTTTCGCGCCCAATCAGTCAGCTGCGCCGACTGTAACAATCTGCACCTCTAGCGCTTAGCACGGAACATCAATTTCGCCGACCGAGGCGTCCCCAGTGCCGATAACTCAATACACTAGTTTAACCAAACAACTGTACGTGGGCCCAATCACATATCTCGCAAATCGAATGAGTTGAAAACTGTAGGATCTTGACGGTCTGAGCACGTGCAGACGACGCCTCGACTCTTTTTGCTATCATATCTAAGCGAAGGAATGTCATGTCAGGCAGTGGGGCCAAATCGTAAGACAGGTTTTCATCCCAACACCTTTCATGTGTCTCATGCGCCGGAGACTGAACCACAAAGGTAGGTCGCAGCTCCCCAAGAAGGGAAGGCATTCTACCCGTCCAATATTGGCTGAGAATAACCTATTCAAGTCGTGATAAATTGATTTCTGGGTCACTGACCATTTACATTGACGCATGGTTGTATGTCGACCAGATAGCACTGCACCACTACATAGCGTAGAAGACGGCTAAAGCGTCGCTAGTCTCATTGGCGACCGCATTAATGACCTACGACTTTCAACGAGCTCACCTGCTGACACAGGGCATCCTAGATATCCTATGTGTTGCATGTCGTCGCAGGAAAAACGGAATAGCGGACGACTCGTGGCGTATTTCACATTCACTGGCTGCCGAAAGCATAGCCGGCGTCACCGCCTGTTCTTCAGTCGATGGTCTGATCACGCTTTCAGCAAGCGCAGCGCCCAGCCCGCACTCCACGCTGGGCGACGCTGAGACAGTACCAACTACCGGCGCATTACGGTACGATACGGCGCGGTACGGCACGGCACGGTACCGCACGGTACAGCGCATCTTCGCAGTGAGCTGAAATTGCTTTTGAACTGGGGTGGAAGTGAAAAATCCCATCGCAAAAAGACCGGCCGGGAGTGAAAATTTCAATTTACAAAATATGGAACTTAGTACATCTAGATCTAGTACATCTAGTACATTAGAACCATCACATCTTCGGCACGTACAAGCGCCCGTCTGTATTATGAAACGACCTCGCCGCCCACAAACCGCTCGACAGGAAGACACGCGGTGAACCGTCGCCGTTAGCGGGCCGCGAAGCGGACGTGACGGGCGATGGGTGAGCGCGAACGGCCGCGATCAGGCAGTCACGATCTTGACACCCTCTCGCCGGTACGGACGGCGGCAGAAGCCGCGCGCAACAAACTATACAGTCGGCTGCTCTATAAACTACGGGGACGTCATCACAGGAAGCATGGCAGCGGTAGCGCGGTAATCACAAACGTTAAAATTAGTCGCATCAATGAAGCGTCATCAATGCATCATCATGATGAAAATTAGCCTTGGCGGCGGACATTTACTTATATACGTATATATGTAATAATATATCAGTGCGACAAGCACTAGACACGCCATATAACGCCATTCTTGATTGCCTACAACAGCACCGTAAGCGGAGGAGGACGCCACCAATGAATCACGAGCAGCTGACACAGCCACCGTTCGTCGCCGAAGCTCACACCAACACCATCACCAGCCGCCGAGCGCCCGGTCCACGGCTCTGACCCGCACGCGCAGACTAGACTCGCTTCGTCGCTTCGTTTGGCACACCGTCCGCCGGTGACGTCCGACTAGACGCACCGCCCACACCCGGGTGGTCCAGGCCGCGGCCCCGCCGGGCACGACGGCCTCTACCGCCAACACGTCACTCGCAGACGCTGACGGCTGTCGTTCCTCCCTGCTCCACACAGGGTTGTGTCCCAAATGGGGGAGGGGGGGGGGGGGGTCCCTCTACTGGGGAATATCTCCCCAACTTGAGCACTGTTCCTGGAGCGTCCCTGCGCCCGGGGGCTGCCACGGTCGAGCCCAGGTCAGCTCTAGGCGCGCGGTCGGCGTCATTGGGAGTGGCCGCTGACCGTGCTGGCCCGGCCCAGGCTGCTGCGGCCGTTACTGAGCGTCACCTTGCTGACGAAGCCGTCCCTGGCGGCGGCCGGCGACGACTCCGGCTGATACTCCTGCTCGGCAGCCAGCTCCTCCTCCAGCTTCTGCCAGAGCAAGCGGGACATGGGCGAAGTGGCGAGATGGAAAACGGAGGTTTACCAAGACATTTTAAAAATTGTAACGTTTGCAAACATTTAGACTCATCTTCATACACTGGGCTTCACAGGGTTTCGATTCATACGCGGGGTCATTTTCACATGAAGTACACAACACGAAACTGACACCGAAACTCTGCATATCAACCGCATAACATTAGCTTCCGTACAAAGGCTGAATATGGTTTCAACAAAATAGGGTATCATGTTTCGTGTGATAGCAGGGTGCGAAAAATCCATCTTGCATAAGCAGCAAGCACGACCCAAGAGTGGCCGGTATGTGGCGGCGCTCTCACCAGGCGGCGCGGCTCCAGGGTCTGGCGCCACTCCTGCACCTCGGCCAAGTACTGCTCCTCGACAGAGCGCAGCTTGGCATCCTCGTGATCCAGCATCGTCCGACCTGCGACCGGCGCTCCGTCAGCGAGACCAGCACAGCCCGTCCGACCCATACCAGCTCCCCCAAACAGATCGGACCGACCCCGCGCGGGGCGGACCGCCCTCCGGCGGTACGGGGTGCCAGCGAGAGGTCCAGGGCGCAAATTGTCGGTTGTTCGCCAACGTGGCCTGTGGCGAACGCAAACGAGGTGATGCCGACTCTCCAGAGCTTCAGCGAGGCGCTCACACTTTTCGTTGTGCAGTTGCTCCAGCTCCTTCACGGCGGACTCGTTCAAAGCCTTCAGTTCCTCCATCTTCCGCTTGTGCTTCAGTTCAAGTCGGTGCTCCTCACCTTTGTACCTGCCAAAGCCAAAAGTGTAATCAAGAAGGCTCACGTTGCCACAACAACGCAACCGGCAAAACGGATCGTGGAAAACTTCGCTATCCCGCTGCCTGACAATGTAACAAGATGCATCAACTACATCAAGGTCAGTGAGTCAGTACTAAACTAACTCACAAAACTAAAAATTGAATAAAGTGAAACATTTCCTTTCGAAGATTTCGAACGCTCTCTGTTCCTAGCTGTGACTAACACCCCAGCGGAGTTCCAACAGCGTTCCACCGACCGCCAGCACACTGCCAGGGTAGCGAGCCGACCACCGGCCACACTGCGAGGGTGGCGAGCCGACCAACGGCCGCACTGCGAGGGTGGGGAGCCGACCATCGGCCGCACTGCGAGGGTAGCGAGCCAACCACCGGCCGCACTGCGAGGGTGGCCAGCCGATCACCGGCCGCACTGCGAGGGTGGCCAGCCGACCACCGGCCGCACTGCGAGGGTGGCCAGCCGACCACCGGCCGCACTGCGAGGGTGGCGAGCCGACCACCGGCCGCACTGCGAGGGTGGGGAGCCGACCACCGGCCGCACTGCGAGGGTGGGGAGCCGACCACCGGCCGCACTGCGAGGGTGGGGAGCCGACCACCGGCCGCACTGCAAGGGTGGGGAGCCGACCACCGGCCGCACTGCGAGGGTGAGGAGCCGACCACCGGCCACACTGCGAGGGTGGGGAGCCGACCACCGGCCGCACTACCAGGGTAGCGAGCCAACCACCGGCCACACTGCGAGGGTGGCCAGCCGACCACCGGCCGCACCGCTTGCCCTCCTGTTCGTGGAAGTTGCTCAGCTGTTCCTTCTTGTCGCCGTCGGCCGTGCTCAGGCGGCCTGGCAGCGGCTGGCCGATGCGCAGGCTCTCGCGGAACATGAGCTCGCGCGCCTTGCGCTCGGCGCGGATCCGCTTGGGCAGCGCGCGCCGCTCGCTCTGCTGTTGGCGCGCCAGCAGGTCGGACCGGCGCAGGCCCGCCCGTCGCAAATGGTCCACCTCCCTGGCGTGGCGCGCCAGCATCTGTCGAGGAGGCGGCGGTCAGACGGCAGCGTCGGCGCCGCGGACAGCGCCGCCGGCACGCACTCGCTGCCGCGTCATGTCACATGCTAGCTGCGGCGGGGAACAGAAACACCGCGCCCCAAGTGGGAATCGAACCCATGATCTGCCCACCACAAGCCAAACGTGCCATCCTGTGCTGGTTTGGGAACTTGCCTGCTGCCGCTGCAGGTAGAAGGCCTCCTTGATCTGCTGCTTCTTCAACTGGTGACGCTCCTGGATGTGGCGCTCCTCCAGCTTGTCCTTCGCCGACTCCTTGTCCCGTATCAGCTGAGTGAAGGTCAAAGGTCAGAGGCAGAGGTTTACTGCGTCAGTTGCCACCCGGTGGTCAACACGATCGTGAGCTGCCTCGGGCCTGGGCTAAACAAAAACAACATGATGAATCTGTTTGCGAAACGGCCCCAAAACCAACGTTCTTACTAGACATGACTAGATGTGGAGACCATAATCATGCCACCATCCAACAGCCAGTTCCAGTTTTTCAGTGTAGATGCGTGCAGTAGTTTTCCGGCCCAGCACTGTCCAGACGCCAACGCCGGCTTCACATAAGCCGCTGCAGAGCGCCTCAAAAGACCGCCGTCGAGCCTCCGTGGACGCACGTCCAGACGGGGCCCGGGTGGGAGCTGGGGTTGGGGTTGGGGGGGGGCGTCTCGTGAACTCCCGGGGGGAGGGGGAGGGGCGCACCTGGTGCCTCTTTTTTCGAAACTGGCTGATCATGTTGGCCAGCTTCTCTTGGTGCTGCTCGGAGAGCGCCTCCAGCGCCAGCTGGTGCCGCTCGTCCAGCCGCTCCACGAAGACACGCTCCCTCTCCTGCGGCCGGGGGACGCCGGTCAGCCGGCCGGCCGGCACTGACCACGCCACCTCGCTATCGACAAGCCATTACAAACAAGAAGGCGAGCGGCAGACGCCACCAGTTGGGCGTCCAATGCCGGCTTTGGCCCTGCTTTCCGGCCAGGCGGACGCAAAATGGCCTCGGCGCGCCTTTATGTCCAAAGCATCATCACCATCATCACCACGGTCCTCGTCATCATCATCGTCATCTGCGGTCGGCCACAGAACGCGACCCAAGCGGCCTGCACCCGCAGACCGGTCCGGGCTGTGCGCAGGCCGCTGCGGCCGGTGGCCGGGCGTCACCTTGTGATCGGATTCCATCTTGTTCTTGCCGGCGCGGAGCGACTCCTTCCTAACGTCACGCAGCATCATGCCGGCGTCCTGCTTCAGCCGTCGCGCCTCCTCACGCAGCGACTCGCGGAACGTCTTCAGCTCTCGCTCCTGCCGCGGCGCACACAGGCCCCGTCAGGGGGCTACCCCGCGGAGCGGGACGCACGGACGGCGCACGGAGCAAGTCACAGACGGCGGCGCATGACCAGGTCTTGCCGCAAACGGAAACCCTTAAATCAATGACCGATCACGCTCCACTCGATCAACACTGCTACAGCGCCAAAAATGAAGAAACCGCACACATTCTAGAGGTGCGAAGCTGTCTTTCAAACGCACGTCTGACCGGCGTTCGGGACGGGGTGCCGAGCGGCGCCTCTGGCGGCGCCGGCACCATCACCTGGTCGGCGCGGATCTTCTTGCTGGCGGCGCGCAGGTCCTGCTCCCGCCGCTGCTCGGCGCGCCCCTGCTCCGCACGCTGCTGACGCAGCGCCCGCCTCCAGCTCGCCGTCGTACTTGCGCACCAGCTCGGCCAGCTCTTGCTCGAAGCGCCGCTGCTGCTGCTCCTGCGCCTGCTGCGTCTGTCGGGGCGGATAGCCGCGCGCCGCGGTCAGTGGCCGCGCGGCTCCTGGTGCTCCCGCCGAGCCGGGTCGCAGGCGCAGCAGGCCACCGCCCGAACCGGTGCGCAGCTGCTCCCGACACTACTCAGAGGTGGGACCACTGAGCTGAGCCACTCAGCCGGAGATACGACGCGTCTCAAAACCGGGATTTTTAGAGAGCTGGCACCCAAGCAGTGCCATATCCCACTGATGCTGAGACCCGACAATTGTCACACGGTTCGCATCGCGCCGACAGGCAGCCCATCTCCCTGGCGTTGACAGGACAGGACAGGACGGGACAGGACAGGACAGGACAGGACAGGACAGGACAGGACAGGACAGGACAGGACAGGACAGGACAGGACAGGACAGGACAGGACAGGACAGGACGGACGGGACGGGATAGGACAGGACAGGACAGGACAGGACAGGACAGGACAGGACAGGACAGGACAGGGCAGGACAGGACAGGACACACGGCACGACACGACACGACACGACACGACACGACACGGCAGGACAGAACAGGGCAGGGCAGGGCAGCACAGGGCAGGGCAGGGCTGCCCGTCTGCTCACCTTAAAATAGAGCTCGCGGTGCTGCTTCTGCTCCTGCTTCTGGAGCAGCTTGAGGTCGCGCAGCTCCTGCTTGCGGAAGGCGTGCTCGTCGAAGCCGGCCGTCTCCCCGTCACCGTACAACACCTGTCTGGTGGTGGAGGTCATCATGACGCCGTCTATCTCGAAGCGTCGCGTCCGCTTGCGCGTCTTCTTGCGCGTGTCCGAGACCGCCGGCTCGAGCTGGCGGCCGCGGCTGGCCGAGGACGAGCGCGAGCCGCTGTCACTGGACGCATCCTGCCAGCAGCACGACACGCGCATTGTGAGGCAGACGGAGTGGAGCACACCAGAGCAGGGGAGTGACAAGGACAGCACAGCACCACTCGAGGGATAATACAAAGGACAGGGGGAGGCAACCGGTCATGCCAGCGCCATGCAGGACAATGCAGGCCTTGCCCCGTCCGAGGACCTTTCACCTGTTCTGTTCTCTACTCTCTGTTCTCCGCTCTCAGCCCCTGATGAAATCATCTGCTCTGACCTCTGTTCTCTTATTTCAGCCACTGATTAAATTTTCCGCTCCATCCTGTTCTCAGCCGTTTCATATCAGTGATCCTGCATCGCCCTTTGTCCTGCTGTGCTCTCCTGTCCTTTATCCTCTTGGTCGCCCTCCCGCCCTATCCTCCGTCCCAACCTGCGTTCCGTGCGGCCTCGTCGCGGCCTCGTCCAGACGAGCCCTCTCTCCTCTGGGCTCAACAGTGCCCTAACTGATCATCGCTTCTGGCATTACCCTGCCCTACCCTACATTGCGTCGTCATGGTGGCTGTACTGCGAAGGCAGCTGGTGGATAGGACCTGGTTCAGCCGACGCCTTGGTTACACCACGGAGCCGTACCTGGGGCCGCGGGGCCGTATCTGGGGCTGCCGGGACCGTACTTGGGGCTACCGGAGCAGTCCCTAGGACTGCCGGGGCATTACCTGGGGCTGCCGGGGCATTACCTGGGGCTGCGCCGCGGGCCGTTTGCGGCGCAGCTGCACTTCCTCGCCGCTCGCCCCGGCAGAAGGGGAGTGGCTGCCGGGGCATTACCTGGGGATGCCGGGGCATTACCTGGGGCTGCGGTGCGGGCCGTTTGCGGCGCAGCTGCACTTCCTCGCCGTTCGCCCCGGCAGAAGGGGAGTGGCTGCCGGGCGCGCTGCCCAGTGAGCCGCCCTCGGTGGGCGGGGCCAGACTGCTGACGTCACTGTCCCGGCTGCTGCCGCCCGAAGCCGGCTGCAGGCGGAGCCGATAGCTCAGTGACGCTCGTAGCTCCAGTGGCTCCCATAGTGCAGCATGCTTGCCGAGGCCAGTGCGAACATGCGACAATAGTTGAGCGCAATGCGACCACGGGGAAATATTATAAAGCACTCCTGAAATGGGCTTTGCTGTGGGCTACACCATATAAAGGTATGCGACTGGCCCCTGCTGCGCGTCGTCATCACTGGGATTTACAACGCACTCAGCTACTAAGGTTATGTAACGTCGCCTGCCTCTCGCCCTGGCAAGAAGGACAGGCACCACGGGGAATCGAACCCCGAACCCCGAACCTCTAGTTTCCCCGAAGCGCAGGCGAACCACTCTACTACGAGTACCCTGGCTCCCACTGTACAGTCCCCTTATTACGGCGAAAATGATGAGCATTTATCACGTTATCCAGCAGTTGACTGACGCGATCAACGCTGCCATCGCAGGGCTATATAGATCCATTCGACACTGATCAACGACTACGTTGAGCCATGGTCAGTGTGGTCAGTGCTGCTCAGTCCCGCAGTCAGGCATGGCAACAAGCAGCAGAAGCGCACCGTCCGAGCCCAGTCAACACTCATTCAGCACTAGCTGGGCTGTCTGAGCAGGGACGCGCGGACCAGTGACTCTGACTCTGACTCGACGAGCCTCCGAAATCTGATCCGGTGAGTTGACCGACTCTGACCCGGCGAGTCTCCCGACTTCGACTCGGCGAGCCTCTGAGCCCCGGCGGGCCTCGGCCACTTACCCGGGCCGGCAGCGGACTGTGTCCGGGGGAGAGGCTGGTCTCCTCCGCCAAGTGGTCCACGTCCGAGCTGCCCACAGTGGTGCCCTGCAGTGTGATGGACGTGAAAGGCGAGAGCGCCGTCGCAGAGCCTGCGGAGCACAGGCCAGCAAGCCATCAGGACCGGCTGTGGCTCGCACCGCGGCCGCGCAGGGCCGGGACACACGGACAAGCACGGCTGTCCCAGCGCCGGCGATTGGCCGGCCCCGGGCAGACGACCGCGCATGAAAGCAGCGGAGAGACAACGGAACAGAAGCACAGAGACGTTCCCAGCACAGCGGGAATGACCAGGCGCGGCGCCGCATCAGCGCGGCTACCGCGTGAGCCATTAGCCGGGCCGCCCGTAAGCGTCGATTTCCAGTAAGCACACAGCGTGGCTGGGGAGTCCGGCAGTCCGGTGGACCGGACTGGGGAGTCCGCCGGACTCGGCCCCCGCCGCAGCTGCCGGCCGCGCTCACCCGCGTCCGGCGACCGCTCTCGCTCCGGCTCCACCTGCACCACGGACACGTGCGTCGGCTCCGGCTGCGGCTTCTGCGCCGGCGGCTCCGGCGGCTCGTCGTGGCGCTCCTCCAGCGTCAGCTCGAAGCGCGGCCGCGGGTCGGCCGGCGGCGGACTGCCGCCCACGATGCTGCAGCCCGAGATCACCACCTCACTGTCGTCCAGCCGCTGGCCGGCCGGCCGGCCGGGCGGCGTGGCGGCAGGTGCTGCCGGCGGCGGCCCTGCGGCGCGACCGGTCAGTCGCGCGGAGCCCAGCACGGACACATGCGCGCCCGCGGCGAACACGACGGCCACAGCGACGGACCGGAAGCGCCTAGTCACGCAGAGGAGCACCAGCCAACAAGGAGGCCAAATGGCCAGCAAGGAGCGTTACCACGGACATGGAAGACGCTGAAATCAAGGATGTATAAACACAGCCAGTCTGGACGAAACCCAAGCGGCGCCCCACACAGTCACGAGGCAAGGATACAGAGCAGACGATGACGAGGTGAAGCTCATCCCCGGAGACAAACATCCGTACTTACAACTTCCCAAAAGTCTGTCCGACTGCCTTGCCCCTAAATCCAGAGATATGTATGTGAGTGCGTGGGGGGGGGGGATAATCGAACACCCCGACACTCATCGTCCCCGACCTAGGGAGCGAGTCGTCGCTTCTGGCCTCTCACCATGCACGGTGCCGCCGCCGCCGCCGACCGTCAGCTGGCGCGTGCCGGGCCGGTCCGGCGGCGGCGTCGTTGGCCCGTCGCCGCCGTTCAGCACGAGGCGAGTGGTGCCGCCGCCGCCGGCGGCGAAACGTCTGCACCAGCACCGGCTCGGCCGTCACCCAGCGGCCGCTGCTCGGACGTGACGCCAGCGAGACCGGCCCGTCACCGGTCGCCGCCGCCGCCGCCGCCGGCGGAGCAGCACGCTGACCGGATGGATTGTCGGGCGGCTGGAGAAGCTGGGGAGGACCTGGAGCAGGGACCTGGACCCCGGAGCTTCAGCAGGGGACTTAGCCTCTCGCCGCGGAGGAGTCTGAGTCGCCGGCGGCGGAGTCTGAACTGACGGGCGGGGGAGTCTGAACCGACGCTGGGGAACTCTGAGTCGAAGGTGGAGAAGTCTGAGCCGACGGCGGGGAAGTGGGAGCCGACGGCGGGGGAGTCTGAGTCGCCGCAGGGACGTTGACTCCGCGCTGGCGGCAGCAGACTCTGAGGAGCCCTGCAACAAAGGGACCCAAAGACGTCATGGCCCAGGACCTTCTCCGAGTCGCGGTCCTCATAGTAACTCCATAAACCACCACAGGGCTGATACCTTGTCGCCTGCAACTAACTAGAGAAAACATCACTGATCGAAACCAGCTCGCAAGAAACTGCGAGCCAGGTGGTGGGCACGGCTCACACAGAGCGAGGCTGGGCCACAGGAGAGAGCTGCGGAGAGGCGTCCGACAGCGGCTTACCTGCTGTCGGCCTCGGCAGCCGGCCCGCCGATCGCTGGCCTGGCCCTCCTCCTCCTCCTCCTCGGACGGACCCAGCAAGCAGCGAGTCGCTCACCCGAGACACGCGGCTGTCCTACCGGCGGCAGGGGAGCGCTCGGTCAACAGGCCGCCAATCACGGCGGCGGGCACACGCGGACACAGCCGGCGGCGGACACAGCAGGCGGCGGACCACAGCAGGCGGCGGACACAGCAGGCGGCGGACACAGCAGACGCGAGGCACATCCTAACGTGTGGAAACCTCACCACGGCGTAACAGACACCACCATTGGAGGGGCAGCATGTTTCGGTGACCCGCGACACCCGAACGGTCACGTTCGGTGCTGTGCGATTTCACTGGAAGGACGCACGCACAACTGAGCCCAAGTCAGGACATTGCGATTGACACGCGGACGCTCTCCGCGTGACCACGGGCTGGCTCGCTCGCCATGCGGTGTGCAAGCTTCGGCTTTGTGACGGGCCAACGGAGCTGGGTCAGGCCGGCGAATGCCGTGGAGCGGAGGCACACCTCTCGGCGGCATCCTCGGAAGCCCTCGTCGACGTTCTGCCTTGTTACTCGAGCAGCAGCTCCGGACCGGGCTGTTGTCCAGCGTGCGGTCGATGAACGGCATCTGCGGAGCAGCAGCAGCGACTGACGGCCCGCGCACCGCCCACCGAGCACACCACGCCGCAACGGATGCCGGAGCACGTGACAACATCGCCGTTTGAGTGGCCGGCCGGATCGGGGAAGAAAACATCATCGCGCCACATTCACTGTTTCAGCTCTAGACCAATCGTCTTCATCCACAGGTCACGGGGTTTCTGTTTCAAATCCAGTTGTTTTGCCGAGAACAGACAAGCGACCAGAAGCCAACAGAAGCGTATGACCCAAAATCTCCTCGGATTGGTATCTAATGCAAAATGTTGACAAATGAGGTTCGCAATCCTTTCAGATTATTATTCTTTATTTCACGCGATCCCACCAGATCAAAAGCATACCCAAGTCAGCTTCAGGAACCCAGAAGTCCATTTACGCAAACTGAGCGCTTGGAAGAGCGGCAAAAGTCGTCAGCTCCTTACACTAAATGACCGCAGCTGCGGAAATACTTGTCGCTACGGTCTCATTAATGTTCCACTGTTTTATACCCGCACTGTTTCTAACGAAAAATGACAGTCCTGAGGTCTTTGTCAGGTCACGTTAACCACATGAGCGAGCTTTTAGCTACAGCGTATCGAAAAATGCCCAGTGCCATTTGCTACAGTCCGTTACGCACTCTTAGCACTAGGACACCCATTTCCTGTTTCCATCGACATTCACAACGCGCAGTTCTCACGACTTTCAGAGCATGTAAGCTTCATTTTGATGCTATCATAGATAAATGTCCTAAGTTGAATTTGAAGCAATGATGGCTTGCGACGTTAACAGCTGGCAATAGTACTCAAACGAGATCTCTGGGCGGCATAACTGGTCGGCATTATGATTGAACCTGTCAGCATCATTCTTTATCCGTGTATGCTGCTGATATAAGCAATGATGGCCTTGAACCCATGGCTTCTGGCAAACACATAACCACGCGCAATCGGTCGTCGTGACGTAAGTACAGCTTGACGTAGAAGGCTTTACCGGTGAATAATGCGCGGGTAAGCATGAGCAGCCATGTAACTGGCAAGGCTGATCATCTACTCCAATGCCCGGTGTCCGATTCCAACGCCGCAGCCTGTGTTCCCCCACATCCGGCTGGACCCTGGCCGGCCAGCCGCCCCGCCCCTGGACCACGCTCCTCATTTCACGCCATTTGATCCCGGTTTGAAAGGGGACCGGGCGGGCGTGGAAGCTCACGGTGCGCCAGGGTGACGCTGAGGCAATGACCGGCGCCGGGCCCTCGGCACCGGACCCCCTCCCCCTCCGTCAGCCGGACCTGTGCCGCTCTCCCGGAGAAATCAGCGGGCTCTGCCGCAGTGCAGTGAGCTCAGCATGGTACACTTACACTGCATCGTTCAACTGGGGAGAAGTCTGCGCCTGCTCTAGGCACAAATGGCATGCTTTGGCCAGCACACTACTTCGTCTCTGGATAGCCACGCCTGCTCGCCTCTCCGCGCAATGAGATGATCAGCATGAGAACAAACAGATACATATACTGTCCATGAGAAATGCAAAGCCTCGTTGCATACAAGATTTCCGAAACGTAAGAGCGCGCACAGCACCAGTTCCAGCAAATATGCTTTTTGATGGACATCGTTATAACATTGGTCATTTGTTGTCCGAATCATGGCAAATCACGAGGCTTACGTTTGCAATCTGCTCGTTCATTTCTCCATCATTGAACTTCACGTAATATGTGTGAGCTACGTCGCTGCTCGCAGGCTTGAAGGCGACGTGCGGAGTGATTGATACACTCAGTGACACTTCACCACGGAGATGGGTGTGGTTTGGGCATGCTATTCTATTGCGATATTATATTTACGATTTTCAGCTATGCGAGACACAGACAGCCAGTGCTGAGAAACGGCCGGCCAGGTTTAGAAGGATTTATTTGTTTCTGTCCTATTTTATGGCATTTTAATTATTTTTACCACCTTCGACATCCCGTTTAACTAGATGCGTTTATGTCGAACTTTAACATAAGGGCTTTTGGCTTAATGAGTACGACTGTGTTTGAAGATAAGTTTCAACACAGAAACCGCTTTATACTTACGGGACGGGGAGAGATTTTGTATGATCGCTTTCCCCCATTCTTGTGAAGGTTGGTCGGGTCTTTTCTAAGGCCGAAGTGTCCCGCACTTCATGACAGCTTAAGACGCCAGAAGCGCTTCTCAAACATCGGAAACGGGCCCCTCAAGGCTCAAAATAGATCCTGTGTATAAGGCAGTCACCATATAGAAAAACAGGACCCCCGTAGTGACGATGTGGGAGGCCCCTTAACTGAAAGGTCTCTATGCTCCATTTGGCCCCACTGCTGGCTCAATCCTGGCTACACCACTGCTGTGAGACCAATACATGTCATAGCACACTATATAACAACTTATGCCATTGATCCGTAAAGAGGAGCGGTGAGAAAAATGCGGGCCTTCTCACTGCATGACAAATCTTTCACATCCGCACGCGACAAGTACACTTTTTCAATATATGTGAGATTCTCTTACTTTCGGGACACTGTGTACATACACACCAATAATCCCCTAAAAAAACCTAGTACAGTCGAGTGCGACTCAGACGCAGCACCGAGAAACCGACGGCGCGAGGGTGACACACGCAGGCCGAGACACGTCCCTGCACGTGACCTATTCTCGCGGCTGCACGGTCGGACTAATAACCACGAACGGTCCAATATTTCCCTTTTCCGCCACAAACGCTGATCTGTGAGACTGCGCCCGGCCTCGGACATCAGCAGAGCGTGACTGGCGCGGGCGAAGGCGGCCGCGGGCGAGGTAAGGCGCACGGCGCTTCCCATTGCTTAATTATGGAGGGCACGTCAGGGCGATCCCACACATTTCTAGCAAACGAGAACGTGACGATACGCGCCAGATATGAATCCCGCTCATGTGCCACAGTGAGCGCCTCCTGTTATTTCCGGATGCTGGCCACGTTTCGTCCGACGACGGCCAGCGCCGGCCGTCGTGGCGGCCGCTCGGTTCGCCCAGCAACGCGTTGCCGAGCGACAGTCGCGCCCGCAGGTCATGCCCTCCGGCGCGGCCGGTGTCATGTCAGAGGGCAAGGTCGGGGCGCCGCTGCCTGGCCACGCTTGTGTCTCTTGCATGGCCCGTGTTTCCCTAAAGAGCAAAATACGGGGCCCGTCCGCACGCGATATCTTCCAACGCCTGCCTTGCCTCGCCACAATGTCCTGCAATGCATGCAGCACCCGCTCTGCAGCGCAAAGAATGGTACCCCAACAGCGCCTTATCGAAACCGTGTGCACCCGTGGATACCCCCACGCGCTACTTTTACTCGCAGACAGCGACACCTGCGGCCGGCCTCGACTCGCCGAGGATTACCAGCAGATGTGATAGTGATATCTAGCCAGCCGCAAGCTGATGTCCCCACCGGCGGCAGATAGCACCTCCGGCGGCAGATAGCGGCTATCTGGAGCCGGAGGTGCGCGGCGGCTGGCCGGTGCCGGCCCGGAGGGGTCGGGAGCGGCCGGCCGGCTGTGGCGGCCGCACACCGCCGGCCGTGTGGGGCTCTCGACGGAGGCCCGCACACGTGACAGCAGATGGTCACGGCACATGTAGGTGGCGGCCCACAGAAAACTGAGCCTAGCACGTGTTTGGACGTCCCTCACGTGGGTTGGAGTCACAGCTGAGGACAGCCGACAGTGTGGGGCGCGATGTTAAAGTAACATCCGGTTGAGTGGTGTCTCAACTCTGGAGTGTAACAATACGATGAATTGTTGTTTCTGTTCAAAACTCTGCTTGGACACGTGCAGTGATGTTACTGGCAACGCAAACGCCCTGTTTGGACGGCGCGGCGGCAGGCCAGGCCAGCTGCGCGTCCACTGTGGCTTGTTATTGGATATGTGCGGGCACGCCCGCCGTTCGCCCGGCCACGCGGCCAGGTCACGTGACAGTGCAGGGCCCGCGGCACTGCGCGGGCACGTAACCGGACCTGCTCCGCGCTTCACACAGCTCGCCTCGCTCCGAACGTCCGCGTTATCCGGCCCGCTGCTATCGAGACGCTCATCAGCACTTAATGCAGCAGTCACACACCAAAGTGCTGGGGGCTCAGCACCGCACGGCCTTGCCTGGTCGGGATGCCCTCTTCGGGCAGTTTTACTTTACAGCCACTGTCATATGTATCGGCAGTTTTTCAGGCGGCAGTCAGCGACATTTCATCGGTCGTGCGGGGCTATATTTTCAGGGGGTGTCTTGTGGCAAGATGCGCGATCTCACCGAGAGGCCAGAGGACGGGAGGGGACCGGTGTCTGGCACAGCACACCGTAACAGGGTACGAGGAAACAGATTTACGGACAGGATCGGTACACTCGAGCATGATGGAAGCAGAGGAACAGCCTGTTCCCTACAAAGACGCCGAGTCAGACCCTTGTACTTAGGACAGACCCTGCGTCCGGGCCAAACTCTCCACCCATGACAAAACTTGTACACCAGGGCAGTCCCTGTACATGGGACAGACCCTGTACCTGGGACAGAACCCTGTACCCAGGGCAGACCCCTGTGCCATGGGACAGACCCTGTACCTAGGACGGACCCTGTACCCAGGGCAGCCCCTGTACCTGGGACAGACCCTGTACCTAGGACAGACCCTGTACCCAGGGCCGCCCCTGTACATGGACAG